CGGGGGGGGGGGGGAGAAACTATATTATGGAGTGGAACTGGTAATTATGACAATGAGCGATCGTCTGCAGCCATCTACTGGTTGGAATATATTTTAATAGTGTTTATTTTCCACCAGGTGGCAGAAATCTTCCACTTAAGCATGGCAAATTTTTTATTAATTATCTCTACAAGTAAAAATGAAAAATATGCAAATTTTTTAAAGTGAATTTTACATATAGTGTTCTCATTTTATATAAAATATACAACAATATGAATAACTTTGAGGCAAATGAATAATAAAAAACGTAAATCCATCCAAAATTGCCTATCTAAAAAGTGAACAATATTACATGTGTTTGAAAAACAAAAAGTGTTATACAGTCTCTTTTTTTTTTGCTGTGGCATTGAAAATGGTGGAGTGGGAGGGGATTTGCACTTGTTTCACTCCTGATGAGTTTGTATCCTTCCATGCACAAGCTAGTTACTGGGTTTTTGGTCATTGACTTGACTTACAGACAGTTTTCTGTGGGGGTTAGTGCTAGGGGATAGAATATACATGGGGGTACCATCACTGATCTTGCATACCCCTCAGCAAATGTGCGGTTGCGCCCCCGACTTTAAGTACACTTCAATAAAAGCATCTTTTAAATTGACACAGATAAAGGGCAAAAGTTCACCATGAAATGAATATACTGATCTTAAATGTCAAATTATTATGCATTTTCTGAAAAAAATGTCTGCTCTTACATTGTTGACATTACCTTCCCAGGTTTAAACTTGAATCTGCCTCTCTTGTGCTCACTGATTTTCTTTCATTTCTTTTTTTAAAGAGTCTCTTACTATGCTAAATACTTAAGTGATCATAACTGAGGACTTTTTCTATTAAACTGTTTATGGAAGATGATTTCATTTATATGATATTAAAGATTTATTTATTATATTGGTGGAATTTGAAACTTTTGTCAATTTATAAGATATTAATAAAATGTAAACCTTAAAGTTACTCTGCTTGTTTGATCTAGTCAGCATTTCGCGCGATTTATGTGTCCTTGTGCAAATGAGCTCTGAGGTTTGGCGCCACAGCTAAAGATCCTGTAAGCGCATGTAACGCCAAATAAACATGGTTTTATTCGCGTTTATTCAAATAACCCAGGACTTCTAATACGATTATATCAACAAGTGTGTACTCGACTCATAATAAAAAAAATGTATAATGCAGCTCTTGAATCTTCAGCCTGCTCGATTGCGGTACTGTATTAGTTTACGGAGCTTCCAGGACTCGCGTATGGCGCGGAAGAGAGTCACGCCTCTTCAAGAATTACCCGCCAACTTCCAGAATTACCCGCCAACTTTCAGACTAAACTCCGCGCCACAGGACAGACAGACACATTCAGAGGACTCAGACGCATTGTAAACTTACACACCCTCAAGTCACAGCGAGCTCGACACAATGCGCTCCAAGGTACAGTCAAATATATCAGCTTTTGTTTTCTAGAGACCTGCTGTTGTATGTGTGTGGGTTTGTGTTGTTTTTGAACGAATAATGCTCTCGTGGCGTGTTTAAAGTTTGTTTCAACGCTATAAAAGAGTGAAATCAACGATTCTGAACGATTAATCGTGTCATTTCTTTGTTTGGTAACATTATATACATTTATTGGTAAGTACTACTGGTTTAGTGGGGGCAGGGGTCGTCCCAAACTTTAGAAAAACGTGATCAATATTTGTAAAGTAAAATGGTAAGACTTTTCAGTAAGGTTCATTAGTAAACTACTTTAATTAACGTGAACTAAGAATGAACAATACTTCTAAGTTACAGCATTTATTAATCTTAGTTTAATTCCAACATTTACTAATGCATTATTAAAATCAAAAGTGTTGCTTGTTAACAGTAGTTAATGCACTGTGAATTAACATGAACAACTTCATTTTTATTAACTAACATTAACAAAGATAAATACTGTGATGTTCATTGATTGTTCATGTTAGTTGGGGAAAGTTACTTTTAAAAGTAATGCATTACAATACTCAGATATTTTCTTGTAAATTAAAAAAGTAATGTGTTACTTTACTAGTTACTTGACAAAAGTAATCTGATTACGTAACTCGCGTTACTTGTAATGAGTTACCCCCAACACTGGTTAATACATTAACTAATGGTACCTTATTCTAAAGTGTTACCAGTAAAACTTAACAATATTATGAAAGGAATTTACTGTTTGTTGACCCACTAAAGTTTAAATAATTTCTCAACGTTATACAAGTAACTTGTTCTTGCAAAAATAACTTGAGTGTAAAAATAACCGAATTGATGTACCCAGTTCTTAAGAGGTTAAATGTCTAGTTTTCATGGTCTCCAGAAAGATGATGTTTGAACAGAGCCGGCTTCACTTTCACTTCTCACCCATCTGCACTCCTTTATTTTATATTCTTATCTAATTATGATTTCCAGTGTTTACCCACTTTAAATCGCCATTACTTGCTGTGTAGAGGAATATGAGAAAATGTTCCCAATGCATGTCTGAAACTGATCTCTACTGAACACCAGACTGATCTGGGCAGGTTTTATTTGGCGTGTCTGCTGGACTCTTCATGAATGGTTTGTATGTTGTGCACAGAGGCAGCAGGCGTCTCCCCCCTCCACCAGAATGAACCTGCGCAGTTACAGGAGCACCGCTGTGGTTCCCATGGAAACCTCCTCCTCTTCCTCCGACGACAGCTGTGACAGTTTTGGATCTGATGGTTTTGGGACCTCGGTATGACATGAGCTTATCCATACATAAAACTGACCTTACAGATGCCCAAATGATCCAAGACTATTCTCTATACCTCCCTCTTAAAGTCATTTGATGGTATGAATGTTTTGACTTGCTTTTTATAGAAGAGGCCACTGAGACAGACGAGAAGGTCTGCTCTGATTGAGAAAGTGTTTAATGTTTTACCTGTGACGGAGGAAGAGGATGCGTGCAGCGGTTATGAGAAAGACCTGAACGACGACATGACAGAAATGGTTTGTAACCACAGCAAACACTTCAGTCTCTGCTTGTTGCTTTATCATATAATGGCTTTGAAAGGATGAATATGTTCAATAAATCAAGTGTTTTTTTCCTTCAGAAAATGGACTCTGATTCTGAGACCTGTTTGCCTCCCAGAAAAACTCGCAAATCGTTCACGCTCAGAGTGGCCATGAAGTTCTCCAACAAACGAGCCAGTCCTTCAAAGCCAGTGTCGCCTGAGTCCAAACCCAACCCTAAACCAAAAGACCCCAACTCTGAGGGCGAGAACTTCATGCTGAAGAGAGCGCTGAACATCAAAGAGAACAAAGCTATGGTGAGGAAGTCAACTTCTACATGCGAGCATTGTTTCATTTTCTTTTCATTTTTGAAAAGGTAACGTAGTATGTAGCCAGCCCTAGATATTAGTATGCCTTTATCTATTTCAAGTTTGAATGTAATTCTTATGATAATAATCTTCATTATTTTTAAGAGAGTTTTGATTAGTTTGAGTATGAATCCAGTTTTAACAGAATTGTGATCTCTTCCTTGTAGCTTGCTAAGCTAATGGCAGAGCTGGATAAGGTTCCTGGACTCATTCCCAGGAAGGCTGCTTTGTCACAGGGCAATACGGTAAGATTTTACAGTGCTGCTGTAAAAAAAAAAAAAAGTTGACTAGAATTATATTAATGCTATAACTGATGGTAAAATGACTAATAAATTTATTACTAAGAACAATTACTGTGAATAACTTGTTAATGCAAATAAATTAATGCTAATAATATTATGAAATAATACTAAATTATTATGAACAATACGGTACTAATTTTTATTATTATTATTATTAGTTATTGTTGTTTAACTTGATTTTTATTTAATTTCTTTTTCCCCTTCTCTCGCTGCACAGCCTCACCGTGCTCCACGCCGCTCTCTGGACCCCAATAGCGCTCGCCGGCGAAACTCGGAGCGAACGTCACGTCCTCTTACACGTTCACGGTCACTGGTAGATGGACCACCCTCCCCCCCTCCAGAGGAAGAAACAGAGGACAAATACAGCCTGGTCCGCAGAAACCGAAATTACGACGATGATGATGATGAAGAAGAGGAGGTGCGTTTCGGTCTTTAATATCAAGAGATGTTTTTTATTCCCATTCCTGTGTGTATGTTGAAATTATAAACTACTGTTCAAAAGTTTGGGTTGGTATTATTAATTTTAATTTATTTTCTAATTTATAATTTAATTTAAATATTAATTGTTTTTATTTTTTTAAAGGGGTCATATGATGCGATTTCAAGTTTTCCTTTCTCTGTTACAAGCTGTTTGTGAACCGATAAGATCCCTAAAGTTGCAAAGACTAAAGTCTCAAACCCAAAGGGATATTCTTTAAAAGTTAAGACTGGTCCACGCCTACCTAAAACGGCTCGTTCTAACACGCCCCCACATATCTATGTCACTATGTGGGAAGATTTGCATAATGTCGCCCAAATGTTCACGCAAAGAAAGAAGGCGTAACTTTTATTATCGCTGTAGTAGTGTTGTTGTTGCTGCCGCCGCCATGTCGTGAAGGCGCTGTGTTTCGTTGTGAAAGCGAAACTTTGTTTGGTCTTCCAAAAGAGGACACGACTAATAATCAGTGGTTAAGTTGTATTTACAACACTGTTCCAGAACAGTTTAACCCAAATATTCAGATGTGTCCAGCGCATTT